TACCCATTGACTTCGCTTTCCCGAGGGGTTTAAATCCTTGTGAAGCCATTTGAATCCAATTCCTGTCTATTAATTTTATTAACAAGCATTTAAATACAGCTATCCCAATTAGTATAAAATACTGCAGTCGATTGACTTGACTGTATTTTAATCATTCGATATCTGGGATGGAAGACATAGTCATTGAACTCAAATTTCCCCATACCAGTTTAAATCAATGGTACAAAATTCATTGGACTCCACAGTTTCTAAAAGTCACGTCGACAGTCACCATTACTGTCCAAGCACTCTAAGCCATTTTAGGGCCAATCTGAAAAATAATTGCAACAGTTTTTATTCAACACATTGCTTTCCTGTGAAGTCCCCGAAATGACATACTAAAAGTCCTGAGGAATCCTACCATGAGAAATGTGAAAAAATCAAGATGTCCGCCAATGCCATAGGAATAAATGGATGGCAGGCGAATCAACTACAGCCAGCGGATATAGTGCCCATAATCAAATTTAGATTGTTTCTTGGCGTTTTCCATGTCTTCAATACCCCAATGTGTTTTTCCTCCACTCCACATTTTCTCCACTGCGAGAGAGATACAGAAATAAAGGTTATTTTGTTTCTCAGTGTTTTTCACATTGTCTTAACCCCCCATTACACATGTATATATTAGGTGTGTTACAAGTGGGAATGATTGGGCATTTTTTTGATAATTTAAGAAGGCCTTCATTTGCCATAAGAATACTATACTGGCAAAAAAGGCGAGTTTTTGTTTAGACCATAGTGCTTCAAAATGACCAAAAATGCATGTTAGTCTGATCATTTTATTCAGTGACAAAAAATATCAGTCTGGCAGTAGAGTACATGCAGATTAATTCGCTTGAGTGGTTTCAGACAATGACTTGTTTTAGATTTTCAGACATTTCGTCTGAACACAAATTGGGACAAAATTCTTGCAGGAATCAATTGTTTACAACCAACGCTAGTGGACACGATAATCAGACAACCAAGTTTAGGGGACTGAATTCACATGGTAGCATGGCAGTGTTATGGTTTGGGCGGGTATAAATGGCAATTTCCAAACAGAATTCATGGTCACTGGAGCACGTGATTGCAGTGATATGTGGCAACCTGACTGCATGGCCAGAAGTACAGAGATGAAGTCTTATAGAAAGCTGTTGTACCATTCACGCATCAACATCCAACCCAACCCAAAGCTTGCTCCATTAGGACAACGCCTGTCCCCATACTGCCAGGATAGCATGGCGAACCTGCAGCAGGAGCAGATCCAGACTCTTTCGTGGCCAGCGTTTAGACCAGATATATCTCCCAGTGAACAAGCCTTGGATGAACTGGACAGACGACCTATTTGCCAGCCACAGCCTACCAGTACCACCGTCATAGAATGAGAGAATGGAGGATGCCCAAGGCCGCATTCAAGGTCTCGTACATGTACAGTCCATGCTGATGAGATAGATAGTACTGACCTGTATTGCAGCCTATAGAGGGCACACATGTTACTGAACATTATACTACTATTTTTGCAACACTATTGCATGAAAAAGTATATTAAAACCACAGACATAAAAAACTTTCATCTATTTATTATTCTATTTATT